ATGAACAATCTCGTTTAATTAACTTGATAAGTAGTTTACTGTGATTAGGAATATAGCATGTTATTAGGGTTATGTTTTTTTAAAAAGCCTTTGTCAGATACACACTGAAAGATTAACAGATGAAATGATAAAATAGCTGGGATTTGCTTCTAAATAATTGAGATTGGGGCTGGGGAGGAGTGTAGAGGAATAAAATTGACCACAAGTAGATAGTTTGAAATTTTCTATAATAAAAAATTTAAAAGCAAACAAAAGATACACCATTTATTTGGTTGTAAAAAGTATGAGGTGGTTAAGACCAGAGGTTTGGGGTTTAAACAAACCTAAGTTGGAGTACTGGCTCTGCCACCTACTAACAGTATGATTTTAAGCGGTTTTTACCGCTCTGAGCCTCTGTTTCCTCATCTGTAAAATGGGCATATCAACACCTGCCTCAGAGTGTTGTAAGAAGAATGAAGGGTAATACATAAAGCTCCTCTTAGCACAGTACTAAATTCCAGGTCAAGTGCTTGCAATCTCTGAAATCCGTGAGGAAACAGACAGACTTTACTGCTGTCAATACTGATGGAAATGGTAGGTGGTTGTTGAAATGTAGTTAAATCTTCATTGCTGTGTCTGCTCTTGTCCTCCTCACCCTACTTGGCGGCTCCTTGCGTGTGCCTCCTTTTGCTTGGTCACCTTGCCATCAAGAGACTGACATCACTGCCCCTTCTAGGAGAGTATCTGGAGGGAGAGAGATGAGTGCTGAGGTTTCTTCTCCCCTCCTCCCACCCCGTCCCCAGATGCTGGCTGAAGCACCCCGGCACAGGACTTGCAAAGTGGCTGGGGCACTTGGCCCAGAGCGCCCAGATCTCTGACTTCCCCGTGGTGGAAGGAAAGGTTCCCTTGTTCCTGGACAGTTAGGACTGGCTGTTGGGATTTTTTCTGGGACTGAGTATTTTTCACCTCTTGGGCCTCAGCTGTTAGTGGTGTTTTGTAAATATTGGTTTATTTACACTGAATTGAATCGAATAAAGTGGAGTGGGTGATTACAATGTATGACCTTCCTGGTCCCTTCTAGTCTCAAAATTTCTATGCCTATATGATTTGTATAATGAGATACAGTTTACAAAGTCACTTCCATATGTATCTTAGTTGATATTGTGACATAATAGCTTAAAATGGAGATGGGGGTTAGGTTAGGTGAGGGTCCTGCGGATATTGCTGGCAAATGGTAATACTTAAAAAAAAAATAATGATTGATTTTTCTGTAATTATAAATTAATACATGACCTGTTATAAATTTAGAAAATACAGAAAAATGTAAAGAAAAAATTGTTACCCACCATCCCACTGGCACTAACATTTTTAGAGCTGGTGAGTTTCTCTCAAATATTTTATAAATATGTAAATAAGTGTAAATATATATGCCTTTTAACTTTTTAAAAACAAATTTAGCTCTTACTGTATATAGATTGGATTTGGTTCTTCGCATTTAATATTTTTTCCAGCTTTAATGAGGTATAATTGACAAATAAAAATTGTATTTAAGATGTACAGTGTGGTGTTTTGATTTATATATACATTGTGAAATGATTACCACCATCAAGCCAATTCATGTATCCATTACCTCACATAGCTACTTTCTTTTCTTTTTGGTGAGAACAATTAAGGTCTACTCTCCAAGCAAATTTCAAATATACTATACAGTATTGCTAGATCTCCAGAACTTACTCATCCTGCATATCTGAAACTTTGTACACTTTGACCATCTGTCCATTTCCCTCCACGCGCCCACCCCCAGCCCTTGGTAACCATCGTTCTGCACTCTGCTTCTAAGAAATCAACATTTTTAGATTCCACATATAAGTGAGATCATGCAGTATTTGTCTTTCTGTGTCTGGCTTATTGCACTTAACATGATGTTCTCCAGGTTAATCCGTGTTGTCGAAAAAGAGAAGATTTCCTTCTTCTTTGAAGGCTGAATGATAGTCCTTTGTGTGTGTGTGTGTATCACATTTTCTTTATCCATTCATTTGTTGGCACCACTTATGTTTTCTCTGGATCTTGGCTGTTGTGAATAGTGCTGCAACAAACGTGGGAATGCAGCTATTTCTTCAAGATGACAATTTTGTTTCCTGTGGATACATACTCAGAAGTGGAATTGCTGGATCATGTGGTAGTTCTAGTTTTAATTTTTTTCCAAACATGGGATTTATTTATTTGGGTTTTTTTGGTGAGATCCATTTGCCCTGAGCTAACGTCCGTTGCCAATCTTCCTCAATTTTTGCTTGAGGGAGATTAGCCCTGAGCTCACATCTGTGCCAGTCTTCCTCTATTTTGTGTATGGGGATGCCTCCACAGCATGGCTGATGAGTGGACTAGGTCTGCGCCTGGGATCTACGGCCGTGCTGAAGCAGAGCGCAGGGAACTTTAACCGCACAGCCACGGGCCCGGCCCCTCATTTTTAATTTTTTGAAGAACCTCCGTATTGTTTTCTGTAATAGTTGGTCCATTTACATTCCCACCAACAGTGTACAAGAGTTCTCTGTTTCTCCATGTTCTCATCAACGCTTGTTCTCTTTAGACTTTTTGATAATAGCCATTTTAACAGGAGTGAGGTGATATCTCATCATGGTTTTAATTTGCATTTCTATAATAATTAGTGATGTTGAACACCTTTTCATACACCTGTTGGCCATTTTTGTGTCTTCTTTTGAGAAATATCTGTTCAGATCCTTTGCCCATTTTTTAATTAGGTTATTTGTTTTCTTGCTGTTTAGTTGTTTGAGTTCCTTGTGTATTTGTATATTAACCCCTTATCAGATATATGGTTTGCAAATATTTTTTCTCATTCCATGGATTGTCTCTTCACTCTGTTGATTGTTTCTTTTGCTGTTCACAGGCTTTTTAGTTTGATGCAATCTTGTTTGTCTATTTTACCTCTGTTGCCTGTGCTTTTTTGGTTTCTGTCCTAAAAACCTTTGCCCATACCAATGTCAAGCTTTTTTCCTATGTTTTCTTCTAGTAGTTTTCCAGTTTCAGACCTTACATTTAAGTCTTTAATCCATTTTGAGTTGAGTTTTGTATATGGTGTGAGATGAGGGTCCAGTTTCATTCTTCTGCATGTGGATATCCAGTTTTCCCAATGCTGCTTATTGAACAGACTATTGTTTCCCCATTGCGTGTTCTTGGCACCTTTGTCGAAGATCAGTTGACGGTATATGTGTGGATTTATTTCTGGACTCTATTCTGTTCCATTGGTCTGTATGTCTGTTTTTATGCCAGTACCATATTGTTTTGGTTACTGGAGCTTTGTAAGATAGTTTGAAATCAGGTAATGTGATACCTCCAGCTTCGTTCTTCTTATTCAAGATTGCTTTGGCTGTTTGGTGTCTTTCGCAGTTTCATATAAATTTAGGATTGTTTTTTCTAGTTCTGTGAAAAATGCCATTGGAATTTTGATAGGGAGTACATTGACTCCGTAGATCGCTTTGGATAGTGTGGACATTTTAACAGTATTAATGCCTTCAACCCATGAATACAGGTTATCTTTTCCATCATTTCTATCTGCAGTTTCTTTCATCAGTGTGTTTGTAGTTTTCAGTGTATAGATCTTTCACCTCCTTGGTTAAATTTATTCCTGAATATTTTCCTGGGTTCTTGATGCTAGTGTAAATGGGATCTTTTTGTTTGTTTGTTTCTCTTTGGGATATTTTGATGCAATCAAAATGTTGTTGTTAGTGTATAGAAATGTCACTTTTTTTGTATGTTGATTTTCATATCATACAACCTTACTGAATTTGTTTATTCTAACAGGTTCTTAGTGGAGTCTTTAGTATTTTCTATATTTAAGATCATCTCATGTACAAACAGAGACGTTTTTGCTTCTTCCTTCCCAGTTTGGATGCCTCATTTCTTTTTCTTGCCTAATTACTCTAGCTAGAACTTCCAGTACTATGTTGAATAGGAATGATGAGAGTGGGCATCCGTCTTGTTCATGGTGTTAGAGGAAAGACTTTCAGCTTTTCACTGTTAAGTATTATGTTAGCTGTGGGTTTGTCATATTTGGCCTGTATTATGCTGAGGTACATTCCTTCTATACCTAATTTGTTGAGAGTCTTTATCATGAAAGGATGTTGTATTTTGTCAGGTGCTTTTTCTGAGTCTGTTGAAATGATCTTTGGATTTTTCCCTTCATTTGGTTAAGTGATGTATCACATTTATTGATTTGCATATGTTAAACCATCCTTGCATCCCAGGGATAAATCCCACTTGATTGTGGTGTAGGATCTTTTAATGTGCTATTGAATTCAGTTTGCCAGTATTTTGTTGAGGATTTTTGCATCTTTGTTCATCAGGGATATTGGCTTGTAATTTTCTTTTCTTGTAGTGTCCTTATCTGGCTTTCCTATCCAGATAATACTGGTCTTATAAAATGAGTTTGGAAGTGTTCCCTCCTCTTCAGTTTTTTGGAAGAGTTTGAGAAGGATTGGCATTAACTTTGCCTTAACTGTTTGCTTACTGATTCAATCTCCTGACTCATCAGTGGTCTGTTCAGATTTTCTGTTTCTTCATGATTCAGTCTTGGTAGATTGTATGTTTCTAGGAATTTGTCCATTTCTTCTAGGTTATCCAACTTGCATTTCATATTATATCCTGATCATTTTCCCATATTAAGGGACAGTTGTATGAAAATGGCTTTCACAGCAGATCTGTGTTGAAGTCTCAGCCTTACCACTTATCGTCTGCCTGGCTTGGGTCATTCGTCTCACCTCTGAGCTTGTGTTTTCATCCCTGTCGTGGGGATACTGCTCTTAACCACACCGGGCTGAGTGAGGCTTAGGTATCATGGGAAAGCCCTTGGCACATAACCTGGTTCTTGGTAAGTGCTGAGCATATGGAAACGTTGGTTAGCTAGCAGGAAACTAGATACTATAGTTCTTCAAGCAGATGAATAGGTTAAGTAATCAAATTAACTTCTCCATATTACTAATTCCACTACTGCATATCTTTTTTAGGACGATGTGAGGCATAAGGTTCATCTGAACACCTTTGGATTCTTCAAGGATGGGTACATGGTGGTTACAGTCAGTAGCCTTTCAGTGAACGTGCCTGAAGGAGCCGCAGACAAGGAGCCCGTTGTAAGTGCCTTTCTGGGAGGTCGAGGCCTTTGCCCTTTTTCGTTCCTTAGGTGAGAGCTCCTCCCCATACTTTAAGATGAAGTATCGGAATGCGCAGAAAATTTACCTTGTGAGCAGGCATCAGATAGTTTTACTTTTAACACTGAAGTTGTAATTCTTGAATAATTTTAGTAATTAGTGATGCTTCTTACGAAATGAGTGCTAAGAAAACCGAGAGGAGGCCAAACCAAAAGCGTCAGCTTTTCTTCTCTCAAAGTAGGAAAGGTCTGGATGCCAGGGTATCAGGGAGATACTTACCTCTACTCTTTTTACCCTTTTTAGATTGGATTCACCCTGGACCGCACAAAGAATGATGGATTTTCTTCTTACCTGGTGAGCTTAAATGCCTGACCTGATCACTCCCTTCCCTTGAGCCCAAGACACTGGGTGGGAACAGGCTGCTCCTTTTGGTGCTGTTCTCCTGAGGTGGTGGCTGCTCTGACTTCCAGGCGTCTCTGAGCACCAGCAGTTGTGTTTGGAATGGAGGCTGGGCCACGTGTTTGCCTTGTTCCCGAGAACTTTTTGTTCTCGTTCTAGTGTGAATGTCTAAGATGATGTACAGTTGGCTCTTCCTTTCTCAGGATGAAGATGTGCATTACTGCATTTTAAGGCAGCAGGTTGTCTCTGTCACCCTTCTAGTCGTAGACATCTCCAAGAGTGAGTAAGTAATTCTAACGTTCCTTCACTTCCATCCTAGAGTAAAGTTAGAGGGCCTTTGGTAGCTAAGCTAGTTTATTGAGTGTCTGCCATGTGCCAAATACTGTGCTGAGTGGTGGAGATTAGAACCAAGATGAGGGAGACAGAGGTCTGGTCCTTGAGGAGCTTGTAGGTTAATGAGGGAGACAGAAGAGCAGTGCAGATGATCACATCAAAAGAGAAGGAGTAAGGCAGAGAAGCCGCGGAACTGTGAAAGAAAAGGGAAGGCTTCAGTAAGTGTTGGCCCAACCGGCCTTCTCATGCACAGACTTTACCAGATGAATGAGAAAGGTAGAGCATTTCAGGCCGAGGGAGCATTCTCTACAAAGGCGGAGTAGTGTGAAATACCCTGGTGAGTTCTTTATTCACATGCAGCTGAGGGAAAGAGGGGAAGGCTTCTTCCAGTCAGAACTAGAAGTGCTTCCCTTCAGCTGGGTCGTGTTAGCTGTGGGCACGTGTCCACTCAGGCATGGAAACTCCCTGGCCCCTTCTCGGGTGGGACGGGTCTGTTACGAAGGGAGAAGGGAAGAAGTGCATGTTAGGCAGGCTGCTTCTGGTGCCCACTGCCCCTCACGTGTTCCCCTAGACTTCACTTGAACGTCTTCTTGGTTTTTTATGTCTTGTTCCATTTCCCTTGTATGCCAATTTGTTGAACACATTACGGATACTTGGGGGGAAATATGTACATCAGCATCATGTGGTTGCTGAGAACTTAAGCTTTACAGTGAGACTGCCTGGGTCCTTGCCCAGCTACTTACTAACTGACTACTCTGGGCACGTATGCAGCCTTTCTGAGCGTCCACTTCAGCATCTGTAAAATGCGTGTAATAGAATCTACACCACAGGACATTGTCAGGACTCCGTGAGATGATGGCTTTAGAGCTTGAAACAGTGCCTAACAGGCAACAGTTAAATGGCCATAAGCATTACTGTCAACTGTTTTCCTTCTGTCGTATTTAAATATAGAGTGAAAATACGATCTCCACCAGACACTGATACCCAGTTACCAAAGATCATCTTGAGCAAGGATGAGAAAGTCGTTGGCCAGAGCCAGGAGCCTGGTGTTCCCCCGGTCTCGGCAGGCAACCAGACTCAGAAAAAACAAGGTAAACTGCCGAGTGGAAACCAGCATTTTCTTCACTGTCTTGCTTCTGTTGATTCTTTTTTGTTCCTAAGTAAAAACAAACATGATCTTAGCCTTATTTTATGTTGGAAGTTATACAAAAATATATGACCATTAAAGAAAAATGTGGGAATTATGAGGAAGATGGAAAAAGAACAGTCGTTTCTCCTTACTCCCAGTGTTAGAATTTTGGTAATTTATGTTTCCTTCTAAGTTTGTTTCCTAAGTCTGGAACATTTGATTTTAAAAATTTAGTCATATTTATAATTTTATAAGCATCCCCATTCACTTAACTTTAAGATGTTTCATACTCATCAGATATCCCATTAAATGCGTAGTGTAATTTGCTCAACCTTTCCCCTTAAGGAGACATATTTCTATTTTGATGCTATTATAAATACTGCTGCATTGGGCTTCTTTATTTGTAGAACTTTTTTCATGTATACAGAACTTTCGTTTTTCTTTTGAGGAAGATTAGCCCTGAGCTAACTGCTGCTAATCCTCCTGTTTTTGCTGAGGAAGGCTGGCCCTGAGCTAACATCCATGCCCATCTTCCTCTACTTTATATGTGGGATGCCTACCACAGCATGGCGTTTGCCAAGTGGTGCCATGTCCGCACTCGGGATCTGAACCAGTGAACCCCAGGCCACTGAAGGGAAACGTGCACACTTAACTCCTGCGCCACCGGGCCGACCCCTATAGAACTTTCTTTAAGATGGTTTCCCAGAAATAGAATATCTGGTTCACAGGATATTAATACTTTTGAGAATATATCTGATACATAGTTTTAATTCCTTTCCATATGAGTTGAGTAGATTCATACTCCTATTGGAAACATGTAGAAATAGTGCCTGCATCACCATGTCCTGGCCAATCCTGGGTTTGGAGGTTTTTTCCCTTAAATCTTAAAGTGAAAGGCAAAAAGGTCTTCTTTTTGTATTCACTGTTATCATTGAGGCTGCACTTTTTCCCCATACGTTGATTAGCCAATTTACATTTATCACTTCTTTTATTAACTGTCAGGTTTGTCTAATAATTTATATGACTTCTTTAAAAATAATTTACTATTTATTGTATTATTTACACATATTTTTCCTCAGTCTGTCAAAACTCTAACCTAAATTAAAAGACTTACAGGAATATTGCGTTTGTGTGGTGGTGTAATTTAATGCCAGTGCACCATCTCCTTTTCCAGGTTCCTCATGCTCACACAACCATTCCCTGAGCGGAAAATACAGTCTTGTGTCACTTAACGACAGGGATGTGTTCTGAGAAATGCGTCATCAGGCGATTTCATCATTGTGCGAACATCGTAGAGTGTACTTACTTACACACACCTAGATGGTACAGCTACTGCACACCCAGGCTGTATGGTACTGATCTTATGGGACCTCCGTTGTATATGTGGTCCACCGTTGACTGAAACGTCATTGTGTGGTGTATAACTATATTCTTTTCCATTATTTATTCCAAAACTCTATTCCTTCCTGCAGGGAGCTTGAGATCCTGTCTTTCTCATGAAGAGTATCTTAAGTAAAAATAAGGGACAGATGCCCTCTCTGTTCCTTGAAAGAAGCCGTTAGCAATCTTAATACTCCTTGCTATGGAAAAAAGTATGCGTTATGCTAATAGTATTTGCTGTTTATTTTTTCCATGTATGTAAATAAGTCTCGTATGTTATATAAATATTTTAAATAATGATCTGTTTACAAATGTAATTACTTAGAAAATAAGGAAAGTCACTCCATGTGGCATCACTGGCAATAACATACACTAGATTATTCAGAGATGAATTCCCCTGTTTGTACTAGATATTATCATTTTTAGATAGCATTTATAGTATAGCAAGTTGCAATTTGCCGCTTCTGCAGCTCCGGATTGTTTTGGGTTCTGAGGAGACGGTAGCTTACAAGATAGCACATGGCCTCACCTTTTTGTTTCTTTGAATTCTTTGATATGAGACAAGCTAGAGTCTCATAAAATGACACTGTGATGTACATATGAGCTGAATCATGCAATAATATCTTTTGAATGTTTCTGCTTCTAGACAGTGGAAAGTTTACAAGAAGTACAGTGGATTCAAAGGTAAGAACTAACCACCCACTTGTGCTCAGCTTTCCTGGATATACATGTATGTATGTATATGTGTGTATATATGAATATATTTATGGACGTAAGTATGTATATATATTCATGCCTAATCCACAGGGAGTTGCCTTATGTCTGGGGAGATAGCATTGACACACTGAAACAATTTCAAAGTAAAATTGGGTGCCGAATTGTACAGCACTTAGTGTGACAGGGTGAGCTAGTGAGGGGAGAGGAAAGTGAGCTATCTGGAGAGCCTTCTTGAAGGAAGTGTCAGCAGGGCTGAAGTTTGGTGGACTTATTTGGAGAAGAGGAGAAGAAAGGGGATGAAGACTGTCGCGAGCAAAGACTGGAAGTGGAAACGAGCATGACAAGTACTGGCCACTGGGCTGTTTGAAGTAAAAGGTACATATTTGGGAGTAGAAGAGGGATCTTGGATAATATAGGGCCATACATTTGAAGGTATTGATGCATAGAAGTAGGAAGTCATCGTGTCTTCTTGATCAGAAAGAAATGTGATGAATGTAGTGTCTCAGGAAGATCATCGTTCTGAGTGTAACGTGCAGGGTAGCCTTGGAGAGGAAGACAGTGGAATTAGGGGACCCAGGAGGGCTGTGGTTGTGATAACACAGGTTTGGGGTGAGGAGGATCTGAACCAGAGCTGAGACTTGGGGTGTGAAATAAGGGAGCAGGCTGGGGGTAGTTGGGGCTAGTGGAGGGTAAGAGGAGAGGCAGACTTTTTTTGCAGAGGGGTAGGTAGGAGAAACAGCAGAAGGAAAAACTGGGGAGGTTTGGGTTTGGGATGTATTGATTTTTCACTGGGGGGGCATCCAAATGGCAGTATTTTATTTTGTTTTGTTTTAATAGTTTTACTGAAGTATAATTGAATAGAGTAAACTGCACATATTTAAAGTGACGATTTGATAAGCTTTGATGTGTACATCTGTGAAACCATCACCACAGTCAGGATGGTGAACATATCCATCACCCCAAAAGTTTCTCCTGCCCCTTGGTCATCCTTTTGCCTCCAAGCAACCACTGATCTATCACTACACATTCATTTTATAGAACTTTATATAAATGAATTATGCAGTATGTGCTCTTTTTTGTCTTCTTTCATTCAGTGTAATTATTTTGAGTTCGTCTACGTTGTTGCGTGTATGAATAGTTCATTCTTTTCATTACTTAGTATCAGTCCATTGTGTAAGTGGCAATATGTTGATCCTGTGAGATTGGGAACAGAGTCCAGGTGATGTGTCGGGGTGTGAGCTGGGTGGGCATCCTTCATCCTGCTGAGGCTGTAAGAGTAGAGAAGGGCTCCAGCAGGCAGACTGCGGGGGAGGGCAGGGCCTAGGGGGTTATTGCAGAGGAAAGGAAATGGCTGAAGAGACATCACCATTTTCTGGGGACGGAGATTTTAAGCATCTTGAAAAGATGGTGAATTTTATTTTCAGAGAGCTTTTGAAGGTCAGCAAATTTAGAGTTTAAGAAGAATGTGTTTTGTGTCTTTTTTATTTCTATTAGCATACTTTTTCTGCCGGTGTCTTCCTAAAACAGGATATTATGTCTTTTTAGGCAACAGGAGAGAATTCCTTTTCTATTCATAATAAGGGTGGAGCAGTTTCATTTCAGGTATGTGTTCTCTGAGTAAAGCTTCATAGACTTTATCTCTACCATGTAAAAGGGTGTATTTTTTTAAGGGATTTTGAATTTAGGAATAATAATTTAGGCCTGCTGTGTGTCAGTCGTTGAATATAGTAGCTCTCTCCCTAACAACCGAAAGGTGGCTATTGTGACCACCACTTATCAAATCAGAAGCTCTGAGATGAATAACTTTGTGAGTGTCTAGTGTCAGTGACAAGGCCAGATTCCAACCCAGTTCTGCCTGGCTGCCCACAACTCTGCCTCTCTGAATCCCGTGCTGCCTCTCGTTCAGAGTGGGCCGGAAGCCCAGAATTCTGTGCCTCAAAGAACCATTGGTGACCACTAGGGTGGTGATGTAGTTTTAGAGATGCTCTCACTGCAACTCGGAGGCCTGGAGTGACCCGCTCGGCTGTTGTGGTTATTAGCTGCACGTGAGTGCTTATGGCAGCATCACAGCCTGTGTACAGGTAGGACATTGGCCTGGATCTCAGAATACACTTCCCAGCTGTTGACCTTGGACAACTCACTTAACTTCTGAACCTTGCTCTTCAATCATCTAAAAATGAAAAATGATGGCATTTATCTCAGGGTTGTTCTATCATTTTTTTAAAAAGGAAAGTGCTATGTAAAGTACTATACAAATAATTTTTTACCGTTAGTTTGTAAGAGTCACTGCCTCTTTTCTAACCGGTTTTCATTAGTTGAGGTATAATTTGCTTAGAGCGAAATGCACAGGTCTTAAGTATAGAGTCTGATCAGTGTTGACAAATTCAGGCCCCCATGTTTCCCACTATCAAGAGTCTCTGTGTTTTATCACCTCAGAAAGGCCCCCCAGCCCTGCATCCGCTGTTCTCATTTCTTACACCTTAGATTACTTTGCCTATCTGACAATGTTTCTATGTTCTTTAAGTTCAGTAACTATTGGTATTGATAGCTCACTGAGAGCTTGTGGGGTGCTCGTCTGCTCTGAGCCCTCAGCAGCTTCCCATCTGTCTCAGAGGGAAAGGCACGTCCTCTCAGTGTCTCCAGGCCCACGTGGTCTGGCTGCTGTCATCTCTTGCCCCTCAGCCCCTCTTTCTCCCTGCCTTGCTCACTCTGCTTCAGCCACACAGGCCACCCTGCTGCTCCTAGACAGGATCGAGCCTGAGGCTCTGCTCCAGCTGTCCCCACTGGCAGGAACGCTATTCTCTCGGAATCCATGTGATTAGTTTCTTTCTCCTTCAAGTCTTTGTTCAAATGGCACCTTCTCAACAAGGCTTCCTCCAAGCGCCCTGTTTTAAATGGAGCCCACTCCCCTTTCCCCCACCCTCCGCTCTGTTTTTTCCCTCACACTTCTTTCCATGCTGTATATTTTACTCATTTATTGTGTTTATTGACTGTCCCTCCCTTTGGAAGGTAACCATAAGATCAGGGATTTTTATCTGTTTTATTACTGATGTCTGTGAAATTCCTAAGCTTGCTCCCGGCCCACAGTAGGCTCTCCGTGAGTAATTTTGGAGATGAATGAAGGAATGCCAGGCCTTGTGCTAAGTACTTCTACATTATCATTATCTCAGTTCGTCCCCCAACAACTCTAGGAAGTAGGTACTGTTATTATCCGCCTTTCACAGATGAAGAAACTGAGGCTCAGAGAGGTTAAGTAACTTGCCCAAGGGGAGGATTCAAACCCAGGTTTGTCTTACTCCAAGGCCCATGTGTTTAACCACTTTGCTTTACTACCTCCTTAAGAAAATACGAAAGGTACTTTTCTCTCTTCTTTCCCTCACTTTAAAATGCTTGTTAATAAAAGAAGTTTTTTGAATGTTTTTTAAAAAGGCTTTTTTAAAGAAATCACAAAAGGAAATCGTTATAGGATATACACATTTGCCAGTTACTGATGCTTGGTGTCAGGGTGAGTGTGGAGGGGATAGCAGCATATGTGACGATGAAGAACATTGGCTGAAACAGCTAGTTTGTAGGGTTCTTGGGATGCATCAAACAGGCAGTGGACAGACAGCTTGCCTTTTCTCTGGCTCCCCCTCCTTGTAAAGAAGTCAGAAGGTGACTCCTTACTATTTTGTGACCAAGGATCTGCCCAGTTTTGAACAGTGTGATCATTCTGAGCTTTTCTGCCCCATTCACAGGGTAGCTGTGATAGTTCATCTCCCTAAAGCAGGAAAGGGACTGTCAGGGCTTGTTCCAACTCTAAGATTGACATATTTGCTTTATTTTGTTTTGTTTCGTTCCTTTTTTTTTTTGAGGAAGATTAGCCCTGAGCTAACATGTGCCGCCAATCCTCCTCTTTTTGCTGAGGCAGACTGGCCCTGAGCTAACATCCATGCCTACCTTCCTCTACTTTATATGTGGGACGCCTGCCACAGCATGGCTTGCCAAGTGGTGCCATGTCTGCAGCCGGGATCCGAACCAGCGAACCCCGGGCTGCAGAACGGAACATGCAACCTTAACCGCTGTGCCCCCTGGCCAGCCCCTGTTTCGGTTTTTTCTTTAAAGGTCAGCTGCCTACTCTGATCTACCATGATGACTCTGTTGATGTTTTTTTTTTATTATTTCTTAGAAACTTCATATGAGTCTTACTTTTGGAATTAAAAGTTACTGATATGTTTAGAAAAGTTTTCTAAAGATTTTATTTTTTTCTTTTTCTCCCCAAAGCTCCCTAGTACATAGTTGTGTATTTTTAGTCGTGGGTCCTTCTAGTTGTGGCATGTGGGACGCCACCTCAGCGTGGCTTGATGAGCGGTGCCGTGTCCACACCCAGGATTCGGACCGGCAAAACCCTGGGCCGCTGCAGCAGAGCACACAAACTTAACCACTCAGCCACGGGGCCAGCCCCTAAAAAGTTTTCCTTTTCTGGCTACCTTGCGTGTCCCAAAATACACGCTCTCACATTTAGGACAGGGTGTAACAGATTAATAATTTCAGCTTGAATATTCTTGGTCTTTTATTTCCATCTTCTTGTCAGATGTTTCTTTTTTCCCCGTCTTTTTTAATTGTGATGTATAGTATACACACAGAAGCGTATATAGTACTTATGTTGAGTACAAATAATTATGATCACCTTTGTAACTGTCCCCTAGGACAAGAACTAGAACAGTGCTGGCACCCTGGAACGCCTGTGTGTGCCTTACATCCTTTCCCAACTCTAGAGTAACCCCTATCATGAAGAATGTTATCATAATCATTTCCACACTTTTCTTTATATTTACCATCTATACATGTAGCCCTAAACAATATATTTTAGGCTTATATTAAAATTTTCTCTAGAATTGACCAAGGAGTCACATTCTGTGATCTTATATATATAAGGTTTTTTGATTGACATTAAACTTCATTTGAACACATGAAATATATGAAAAACATGGAGAAATGTTTAAATGTAGAAAATGTAGCCTCAATCACTGTTGTCTAAAACCATAGGTGTGAATTCTGATGAGGGAACATTGGTCCTTTTCCTTTTCAAGTATCAGATGAACCTCCTTTATTTCTCAGGAGTATTTTTTTACCTGAAAAGCAAAGTAATATGTTGTCTTGAAAACTAGATAACTGCATTCTAGGTTATCTCTGCAGACTTCTGTGAAAACCCATCGCTGATGGATAGATACATGATAAAGCAAGTATAGTAGAATATTACTGGTTGAATCTAGGTAGTGGGTGTATAGGTATTCACTGTATAATTCTGTCAACTTTTCTGTTAGCTTGAAAATTGTTAGAACAAAATATTGGGAGGGAATCATAGAGTAAGAAAATATCTGTTTAAATTCTGCTCTGGGAGAATTTGAGTAATTTAAGTAGTCTATCTTTATATTCTTCTGTCTATAGTGTTCATGATTTATTTCTAAGATTTAAAAATTTAGCTGAGGATTTGAGTACCCTTAAATTTTTTTCTTCACTTACAGTTTTTCTTTAACATCAGCACCAATGACCAAGAAGGCCTCTACAGTCTGTATTTTCATAAATGCCTTACAAAAGAAGTTTCATCTCATAGCAAGTTTTCATTCAACCTTGATGTGAGTACCATATGGAGTGTGTCCCACATAGATTTTGTCAGCTGTGTAAAATGGGAGGCATTTATTTCTCTATAAGAATAGATTTTAAGAACACTTAAGCAGAGTAAGAGAAAAATGTGGCCAGAATAACGTCTCTGCCAGTGGGCAGGATACTTCAGCGGAAGATTCGTAAATAAGAAAATGTAAAGCAGTTTAGGGTGTGTTTACACTTCAGCCTGTGAGTTAAGAATGAGCTTATTTTCTGCTGGTACTCACTTTCTTAAGCTTAAGTGTAGCAGCTAAGATTACATACAAGTTGCTGGATATGTGATGATGTGTTCCTGAAAATTGATTTCATGTTGGTTTCAGATTGAGATCACAGAGAAGAACCCTGACAGCTACCTCTCAGCAGGAGAGACCCCTCTCCCTAAATTATACATTTCTATGGCCTTTTTCTTTTTCCTTTCTGGGACCATCTGGATTCACATCCTTCGAAAACGACGGTAAATTATTACTTCCTTGAGCCCTTCAACTTAGAGTGTGTTGGGATTTGTATAATTTCACCTTTTGCTGGCTTCTGAACCTGGAAGGAATTGGCACTGGCCTATTCCTCAAACCAGCCTTGCAGTGAGGGAGGCGTTTGCATGCCCTGCTGTTTATTTACTTCCCATTGCTTTGTTTAGAAAGCAAATCCAAATATTTCAATAACGTACAAGGAAAGTAAAATGTATAAGCGAAGTGTTTCCATAGCAAAGACGCTGCAGTCCAGGACTCATAGTGAACACATTGGTCCCATTCTGGGCTGTTTGTTCTTAAGAGTTGCTGAGTGACAATGACCCACTGCCTGGGTGAGAGCATGACGTCGCTGCTTCGTGCTGAAGTCCTCAGCTCAGAGCCAGTCTGGGACAGATCCTCATCTCCAGAGGCTCCTCGCTGGGGAAAACCTCTTCAAAGGCCTCCTGCCTGCCTCGTGGCCTTTCTTCTGAAACCCCTGAGGTTTTAACTTCCCGTACTGGGTTCTTGAGGGGAGCAGCTGCATATGTGTGGAGCTAGTGTTTAATTCTGTCTTCCTCCCTCCAAAATTGAGAACAAAATATTAATTTTCAGTTAAAGAATAGCGTGAAGCATTTATTATTAGTATAAGGCCCATAAACTGAGTAAATGATGGTATGTGAATATGGTATTGTAATATGGATTAATTTAAATTCGTCCAATAGTTAAGGACCCCCAAATATCAAATACCTCTTTCTCTGGAGCATTGGAGCAGAAATTAAGACCTCTTTAATCCCTGGTGGCCTGATTGCCTTCTAGGGGACATGCCCAGCCAGGGTATTGGGCTCTGCTGGGTGCACTTGCTCCTTCCTATTTGTTGTAATATCCTTTACACCCACCAGATGCAAAGACCTTCACAAATCAACAATCTTGTTGATTTGTGAAGGACCCTATGTAGTCGTGTTTGGACTGGTTGATCAGTCAGCCATTAATAAGAAAAAAAGAATCCTACAAATTCGGGTCAGAAAGGGTTTTTTTGTTTATTTTTTTAAAGAAAGTTTTGCTCTTGCACTTATTAGAAGAGTAAGAACTAGGAGTCAGACGCCTGATTTCCAGTGTGACCGAGCACTGTTAGCGCCTGTGTGCCCAGCTTCACTCTTAAGTGTGCTTTTCCTTGGCTGCCAAACCGGGACAGTGATAATTTCCCTTCTTCCTCTGAGAGCCTTAGATCCTTAGATTTTTTTTACGTAATTACCCCAAAATACTGTGTATGAGAGGGCTTTGCAAATCAGGGTGCTATGCAAATATGAGGTCCACGCAAAACAGCTTACTAGCCAGGTGTTCAGTGGTTTAATTTCCCTTTATTTACTGATGCAGCAGTCCTTGTCACTGATTCACTTATATATAATTGTGGCAACAGTTCTAAATCTGTGGTTAAATGAGACTGACCTACCTTGTACAAAATGTTCTAAACTCTCCTTGAAGTAGAGTATACATTCAGAAATATGTAACTTAAGCCCTCCGCCCATCCCCGTGTTTTTCCGGGAGTCCTACAGCCAGTTGTGTTGGGTTGGAAATTTGAGTCATGTAAAGGATGTGACCCCATGGCTGCCGGTACATTTCAGAGGCTCGTAGTCCCATAAAGCTGGAAGGAACTGAGAGACCTTTGCCTGGTTTTATTGAGGCCTTGAGAGAGGAAGTGAGAGACATGGCTAGTGTCACGTGACAGAGCTGGCACTGGAACCCAAATCTACTTGCGATGCATACATGGCTCCTCTCAACTCTGAGTTCTCTTGTGGGCCCCAGAACGTGGGGATGGGAATCCTGGGGATGTGGGAAGGGACAACAGGAAGCTAATAGTTTTGGAGTACCCACTCTCTGCTCAGCCACGCACTCGATGTTGGTTAGTTCAACGAATCTTCCAGCAGCATCTTGAGGTTGGTGTTCCCTGTTTGCAGAAGAGGTCACTGAGGCTTAGAGAGATTAAGGTCATCAGGGTAGAACCAGTATTTGAGCCAGGTTGGTGTGGCTTCAGAGCTGTGTTCTTCCTGTCACATCCCTGCCCCAGCCGTGGATGTTTTAACTTGAACTGCAAGGCGAGGTTGCCAGGGGGTGTGGGTGTGCACCACTCTTGACACTGGGCGGTTTTGCACTCTGGTAAATCTCGCTGCTATTTAGGAGTGACAGACTACTCTGGCCTTGACTTCCTTTTTGACCTTCAAATGGGTGGGGACTAGAGCAGGAAGGTACCAGGGAGGAAACCAGCCCGGAAACTGAGTGTGCGTCAGTCCTTGCACGCCCTCCTCATCGTTCTGTGCAAGGCCCCCTCTCCTGCTTTATTTTCCCCCTCGTATCCTGTCCCCTCTCCCATTCCTTCCCACCCGTGGAGAGCCACTCACATGTGTTCAGTATGTGTTATTGGATATTTGTGTATTCTTAAAAATAAATAATGTTTATTGGTGTTGCATGTATTTTTAATTTATATAAACTAAATATATATAGTAAAGACCTAAATCATGTAGATATAAGTATATCTATATAGACAGTATAGTGTAAACTATATAGTATAGTATACTACTAAACTATAGTATAGTATATACTATCTATGTAGATATTTTTCTTGTACATTTTTCACTCGTAATATCCTTTTTAAGGTCTAGTCATCTTGCTGTGTGTACATCTAGTCCATTCATTTTTAGCTACTCTCTAGCACCCATGGTATGCATCCCCACATTTTACTTATCCCTCCCTTTAATGGTGGACCCCTTGGTTGCCTCCATCTCCGTGCTTCCACAAACAGTGCTGTCACGACCCTCCCTCTGACCTGTCCCCTTATGGCTCTGTGCAACCTCTGAGGCACATTCCCAGAGGAGGTGTACTAGGTGTGGGGTAAACATGCATTTAATTTCATTCAGTGCCGCCAGCCTGCCTGCCTGTGTGCCCGTACCAGGTCACCCTTCTGCCCACAGGCGGAAAGGTCTTGTCTCCCTGCATACTCACCGATACCGACAGCTTATTTTTGCCAGTCTGATGGGTATAAATGGTACCTTATTTTATTTTGCGTTTCTCTGAATATTAGGGATGTAAATCATCTTTGCAGGAAATTGTTAACCATTTGGGTTTTCCCTCTTGTGACTGCCTGTCTTCTTCGCATAGTTTTCTGTGCGGTTTTCTCTTTTTCTGGTTGCTTTGCATGCATTTCTTGCATATTCTGGGTGTCAGTCCCTTGTCTTCTCCCAGTCTGTTAAACTTGTCTCTAGTAGTCGTTGTTGAATAAAAATCTTTCATGTTAGTGGAGTCAAAGCTAGCTAATTTCAGTCTTTTGAGCAGTGCCTCTTGGATCTTAAGAGCCCTGTTCCCACTTCAGGATCCCAAAATGTGGGGGTCCCCCTTTATGGAAGTGTGAAGTAGAGATCCAGCTTTCTTTCTATATCTAGGTTTGAGCTGAATTTTCCCTGTGCCGGTTATTAAACAGCCTGTTCTTTTCCCACTGATTTGGAGCTTTCCCTTTGGCCGTCCCTGCTGTGTGGTGCCAGTTCCCCTGCAGCTGCACCTCATCGCCTCTGCTTTCTCAGGATTTCGTGTCGTTTTCATGGATCCGTCCACCCCGCTCTTGCCTCTGTGGCCTTTTCAAGCTGGTTTTTGGGGAGGAAGCTGGCAACCTATTTCGATTTCCATCTTATCAGCGCTCGGAACCCATCACATCTGGCTTCAGTGCATAGCTCTCAGTTCCCTTCACAACGTTAAATTGCATGTGAGGGATGACCTGAGGACTCCGTTTGAGGCCTTTTCTATTGGCAGAAGCTACTTTTTAAAAAGTCTTCATGTTTGTGATTTGCTTAGATTATATTTACGGTCTCCTTATAAATATATCTGATGCTTGGCACTCCAGCTGTCCTTTGGGTGAATGGAATATTCCTTTAATTCTTTTCTGTTTTATAGGAATGACGCATTTAAAATTCACTGGTTGATGGCGGCCCTTCCCTTCACCAAGTCTCTTTCTCTGGTGTTCCATGCAGTATGTATTAGCATTTCGCAGTCATTCATGAAATGATGTACAATGTCTAGATGATTGGGAAAAATCAGTTAGAAGAAAGGAGGCAGATCAGTGGGAAACAAAAGCGGAAAGAGTCCCTGTCTCACGAGCCTCCTTTGGTCTGGGAGGGACTGGCCTCGGGGGGACATCATCACAACCTCCTTAAGACTAGACCTAAGACATCTTTTGATATTACCTGCAGACCTGGAGCTTTCCTCCAACACTTGTTGGTTTTTATTTCTTTGGGGCTTTTTTGTCATTTCTTGAGATAAGAGTGCCACCTGGTGAATTGTTTCCATGACTTCCCTTATTTTTCCAAATATCCCCTCATGTTCCCATTTGATTTGAAGTTCCGTGTTATTTTCTCTTATTTGAGAGAAAACGGATGCTCTAAAGATCAAGGTCTAAGAATTGAGCTTAAGCTTTGAATATGTAGTACTAATACAAATTGAAATGAGCCTGCCCGTGGGCATAAGACCACAACTTCTCCAATTTGCAGGCCTCCAAGGCACCCACGGGCCACACCTGCGAGCATGCCAGTCTGCAGACAGGTGCTCTCCTCCTGCACTTAAACATGTTGCTGTAGAAAAAGTCATAATAGGTCCAGTTACAGTCTCAAGAAGTGACAGTTATTTGGATAATTTCCCATTTGGATCTAAGTTAAAAGATTCCTCTGGAACCATATAGATCATGAATGATGGGATCCTTGAGTCACTTCAACGTCTAGCTAGCCATCTGTGATAGAATGAAAGATGTATAAAAAATTGGTATCAGCTTTGTGAGTTCTTCCAGGAAGCATTTTGGGTACCCTACTGAAACTTGCCACTTTAATTAAAATTGGCAGCTTCAGGTAGCTCTAAATTTTACAGAATTTTTTTCAAAGAAAACCTAGTTGAAGCTGGGTGATTCCACACAGATGTGTTACTGACTGGCTTATTCACTTTTATAAGCAGCTGGAGCATGAAAGATAAAGTTCTTGGCTGGAATACTGAAAAGACCTGTGGCATTTGGATCTTAGAGATTTTAAAGAAGAGAATGGCAGCCATTTGCCAGGGTGAATCACCTGCCTCAAGAGAGGGACCCGGGCTGGATGTTAGTGACTTTGAAACCTTGAGTCAGGTTTCTCAAGCTCCCTGACGTTGTTAGTGCACTCACATGCTTAATTGTGAATTGACGAGTGAGTTATTAGGGCGTGGCGTGGGGGACGTCCTCCACCAGGAAGTCCTCTGGTGGCCTTTCCTGTTCCACTGTGCACTGGGGCTCGAGGTGGATGGGCCTGTCTGAAACGTGCTCGTTCGGTTGCAGATCGACTACCACTACATCTCCTCCCAGGGCTTTCCCATCGAAGGCTGGGCTGTGGTGTACTACATCACTCACCTGTGAGTATGCGGCGTGCCACACAGAGGACTCGGGCCCTGGAATGGCGCGCGGGAGAAGTGGGGGAAGCCGTGGTAGGAAGAGGCCTGCCCCAGGTTGATGGCCCTGCCTCCTTGGCAGCCTTTCTAGGTTCCTGCCATGCCGAAAGGGTGTGGCATGCAGGTGGCTGTGCAGACTTGAGAAGTTGGGGCTGTAGGTGTGCTCCTGGGAGGGGTTGCCTCCCTGCAGGGATTGGCTGCTCAGGGTGGGGGTGCGTAGCTAACTATTTGCATGTCCGGAGAGAAGTGTTGCACATGTAAGATGAGTTTCCTGAATCGGGCCACCTATCTTTTGCAAGAAGCATGTGAAATCCTAGAGTGCACTGTAGAATGTAACTCTCAGAGTGAGAGTCTGAAGAGGCCCGTCAGTGTCTGTTAAATGTGTTCTTTTCCAGTTTGAAAGGGGCACTGCTGTTCATCACCATCGCGCTCATTGGCACCGGCTGGGCTTTCATTAAGCACATCCTTTCCGATAAAGACAAAAAGATCTTCATGATTGTCATCCCACTCCAGGTAAAGGAACTCCACCCCCGCTTGGCCTAGTTCCATCTTGGCACTTCGCAGGGCTCAGCTGCAGGCCTGTCTCACTCAGAAACCCCGCCTCTGCCACCGGGGCTTCTCTTTCTGCATTCTGACAGACCCAGGACCTCTAGTGATTGCACTGGGAGATTTTTGACCATCAGTCATCTTTAAACCAACATGTGGGCACCTATACTTTGCACAGAGAGCTGCTGAAAAATTAGAGCCACACACAGCCTTCTTTTCTGCATCCTTTCTCCCTCTAACGACACGGTCCTCTTAGTGAAGAAGCGATTTTGTTAACACATTGCTTTAGGGCCGCAGATGACGCCAGTGAGCTTCCGTGAGGTGGGCCGCTAGGCAGGGTTAGGGCAAGCCTTTCGTAAACCTGCCTGTGTTTGGGACCCTGGGTGGAGGCCAGCCTTACAAGGCTGTGAGCCCCTCAGGGGAGGACCTGTGTCTTGAAGATAAATAGACGTACTGGAAGCAGAACCTGGACCTGAGGAGCTCATAATAAACAGGAGGTCTTTGGGGCTGGCCCTGTGGCCGAGTGGTTAAGTTCGTGCGCTCCGCTTCGGCAGCCTGGGGTTTCGCCGGTTCGGATCCTGGGTGTGGACATGGCACCACTTATCAAGCCATGCTGAGGCAGTGTCCCACATGCCACAACCAGAAGGACCCACAACTGAAAATACACAACTATGTACTGGGGGGTTTTAGGGAGAAAAAGGGAAAATAAAGTCTGAGAGTAAACAGGAGTGTGCAATTACCCTGCTCTGCTTGACCAAAGAGCATCTGTTGGATAAAGTTGTTCTTGCCAGCTGACCTCATTGTGGAGCACAGTGTGAATGTGGCAGGCTTCCCAGCGAAGGAAGGGGCAACTCCCTAGGCACCCAGATCAGCCCACTCGACACTGGTGATCGGTGGGTTAGCAATGTTTGCAGCAAAGCCTCCTTCACCTTCAGTAATAAAGGACATACGTGAGTGCCGAGTGAATGGTACAGACCACTTGCTAGAGGTTTCTGAGGAGAGAGTAATCCCCCACTTCGAATGATCTGGAAGGCTTTATCATGGAGATGGGCTTTGCCTAGATGGTTAAGGAAAGAAACATGACGGAGGCAGAGGAGCAGTAGCAGAAGCACGTGATCCTACTGTCTGGTGAACAGGAGGCGCGGGGGCCTGTGCGGGTCTTGCTGTTGAGCCAGTGGGACCACGTCTCTGCCAGGCCAAGTTCTGCAGCCTGCCAAGGTCTCAGAGCCCAGAGTACCGGGCCTGGGTCCTCTTCCCACGTGCCGGACAGCTCCTGTTTCCCCTTCCCTCTGGTAGCTGCAGCCATCCTCTCCACTTTGGGTCTCCCTCGCCGGCCGGGGCTGTGATGCAGTGGGCACGGTCTTCCCAGCTTACCCGCTTTGGTTCCCAGAAGGGGCAAAACACAAGGTTACCTGTCAGGTCTCTCTGAGGAAACAAGGACATTCAAATAATTACAGTGAAGAAGTGACAAGTATTTAACCTTTGGGACTAGTCTTTGAAGGCCTTGAACATCAGCCCAAAAAGTTAAAGCTGCTTCCTCTTGACCACAGGGAGCCACTGCACGCTTCTGAGTGAGAAGTGTGTGGCATACAAAGTGGCGTTTCGGGAGCATGATTGGCACGTTGTTGCACACCAGCCCTTCTGGGAACGCTTTGTCTCTCGTGACAGGAGTGTGAACAAAGGACAGAAGGGACTTAAGGGTGTGAGCTGTGGAAACCCTGTTTTCCACTTTGTCGCCATAGACAGAGCCACAGGTGCAGACGTTTAGGACAGACTGGGCTTCGGGAGGAACCCAGAATGGGGTCTGTGGGAGACTGAAATTGCAAAATAATTTTTGCATTTGTATGAGGCGAAGTATGGCTTCTGTGCTGAGTTAACTCAGTCCTAGGTAGAGGAACTTCGCTTAGAGACGCCCCAAGTGCTAGCACAACAGATTGCACAGTTTTGTAGAAGTCTGGAGAACTACCTTTACTGCAAGTCAAGTCGAGTACTGGGGACCGTGGACTTCTCATGGACTGTGGAGGTGGGATTAGAATCCTTGCGTCTGTTCTCGTGGTAATCTTAAAAGAATGTCTCATAGATTATGTCTCCCTCATGCTGAGCAGCATCCCAGTTTTCAAAACATTGTCATCTCAGTTTAGTCATCTGAAGGACTTTTCATAATATGCCAAGAGCTTAATATCAGGACTGAACACACAAGGCACAGCCTTAATTTTGGAAATCGAAGCAGAACATGGACGCGGATGAACCTCAGTGGGAAGAACCGAGCTGTGTCCACAGTAGAGAGGACCTGGACAGGAGTTACTGCTGTGAGGAGTCTGCCATGCTTGCGTCTCTGGTCTCTGAGAACACAGTCCCGTTATCTGGCGCGGAGAAGGTGACTGTCAGGGAGAGCCAGAGCTACCCATGCAGGGAGAACTGGGCCTGAGGAGCGTGGGCACTGTGGCTAACCGAGATGGAAAGTGCCCCCTGTTTAGCACCTGAGTGGCTGTGCTGAGGCCTGGGGTGCCTGGAAAGCAAAGTGTCCCAGTTATCTATTGCTGCATAATACATCACCCCCAAACTTAGTAACTTAAAACAGCGCTCGGGAGCGGCTTAACTGGGCGGGTCTGGCTTGAAGGCTTGTGCATTACGTGGTCAGACAGTGGCTGGGCTCCTCTGGAAGTCTTCACTTCCCTCTCCCTCCTGGCCTGGGGAGACTGGATCTGATGGGGCCAGCACAGCTGGGGCTCCTTGGGCGTCTTTGTCTCTCTCTGCCTGGTCTGGCCAGCATGGCAGCTTCGAGGTAGCCAGACTTCTCACAAGAAGGCTCAGGGCGCTCCAAGGGTTTGTGTCTCAAGAGAGAGAGCCAGGCAGAAGCTGTATTCTTTGTATGACCTACCTTGGAAGTCCATGGCGTCACTCCCACCTTACTGTATTGGTCAGAGCAAGCACAATCTCAGGAGGAGGGCACAGAGACTGCTTCTTGGCAGGAGAATGGCAAAGTTCTGGAAGAGCATGTGGGACTGGAAATAATGCTGTGGCCATAGGTCGAGGGCTTGCAGGCCAGGTGTCCAGCCCCGACTGGGGCTGTGGTCATGACGATCTACCTGCGCTTTGGGGCCTCAGCGACTTCTCAATGTCCTATAGGTGCTGGCGAATGTGGCCTACATCATCATAGAGTCCACCGAGGAGGGGACGACGGAGTACGGCTTGTGGAAGGACTCTCTGTTTCTGGTTGACCTGCTGTGCTGTGGAGCCATCCTCTTCCCAGTGGTATGGTGAGTCCTCGGAGGGAGGGAGGCTGCGTGTGCACCACAAGGCTTGTCATCAAACCCAACAGCTGGACCAGCCATTCGCAAACTGGTTCGAATCACACGGGGCATCTCTTTAAGAAATACAGCTTCCTGGTCCCAGACTGAATCAGTCTCCAGGGCAGGACCCTGGAATCCGTCTTTATCAAGTTCCCCAGTGGATTCTGATAGAGCTAGTCTGGCTCTGTGGCTGGCTTTTAGCACCATTTAGACAATAGAGAAGAGTCTGGAAATGCGAACTTAGTAGCAGCACAAATAGCAGCAAGAATTTGGAGGGGAGGGAGTTGAAGAAATCCCATAGCCTTTTCTTGCCAAGTTAGTTGGAAAATGAGGAAGTCCGTTAACATAAAACTAGTGGTAGTTCTCAGCATGTAAACATTCTAGATATCTTCAGAATGGGTTCCTTCATTCCTGGAAATGGCAGGCTTTAGATGCATATGCTGGGCTCTGGTTATGTGTAAAGAAATGGTAGTGCTAAGTCAGTGGTTGGTGAGAAATAATATCCTCATTAAATCTCATGCAAAGTGAAGGAAATTCTTGGTAGAGTAGGAAACAAGTTGAGGACAAACGGCGAGCAAAAATGAAGCACCCTTATAATGAGCTAGTTCCACGGCTACTTGAAAGCAATTAACTCTTATGGAATAAAGTTTAGGAAAATAGATTTACCTGCCTTCTATTAGAAGGGAGCTGTTCCTCAGTGCAATGCCCCCTGCAGTCAGTTAATATTCTTTAGGATCCCCGGGTTTATCAGGTCACTCGTTTCTGAGTTTTTTAGGGTATGGTGCCAGTGGAGTGTAATGCTCATTCTAGCCAGTTAGATTCACTCTTAACCTTAATTCCATCGTACGTCACACGTGTACATAGAGCAGTGCAGCGGACACCTGCCACTGTGGAAGAGAGCGCGAATGAGTCTAATCTCCACACTTCCTCGAGTCCTGCCAGGAATAAGTAACTCAGGCATCTGTAGCAGGAGGACCAGCATTGTCTTCAGATAGAAAGAGCATCTTATTGCTGGGGAACGGAGGGGAGGACCCTCCTCTTAGATCTGCCACACTCAGCAAAGTAGAAGGGACATGGGGGGTTGGGGAGACCCAGTGCACTATAAAGCTACAAGGGGCCATTTCCTGCCACTTGATTAAAACCCTCACGAGCAGATGCCAAATGGCAAGATTCTTTAAGGTAAATATCCTGAAAATTGCTGTAAAATGAAAAACATCAAGTACTAAGAGGTGATGTAAGAACTAGTATTGATGATTTCTTTTAAATATTCAGCTCCAGCCAGCATTGGTCTGGTGTTCTCTGTGCTAGTTAACGTTCACATGTTGCGCCAGTCACTTGTCACAGGTGGGCAAACTATGGAGGTTTTTGGAGAAATGACTTGTTCATGGTCCAGTAAAGAGTGGGTGGCCGTATGAGGACTTGAGCTGTCTTCCCCCTGCACCGTGTCTGCCTGTGCTGCTCTCATCCTTTAAGAAAGACTTCCCTCGTGCCTTTGAACCCTGCCTGGAACTCTCATCTATAGCTCCTTTAATAATGTTAATGTCCCCTGCCTGAACTGTAATGATGGTACTTAGTTACTGGCACATTGCAGCTGGAAAAGACTCCCTGGAGGTCGGCATTTTTCAGCAGTTATAAATCTCCAGTCAATGAATACAAAGTTTGAACGAAGCCACGTGCTCACAGCTCCTGGACCTAGACTTTAGAAATTGGCCTGTGACCTTCTTATGGGGACCATTCTGTCTAGGAAGCAGCTAAACTCACTGATGCCTCTCGTCTTAGTAGTGTTGGTGAGGGGTAGTTGTGGGAATGAGAGATTGGGTTGAGAAATCAGGAGTGTTCAATGGTTATATTTTGTTTTGTTTCTCCTCGCATCCAGGCCCCTGCCATGCTTTGTTCAGCCAGCAGAGGGCGTGTTTGCCTCACAGCCTGAGCACCACATGGGCGGAGTGCCGATTGTCAGAGATGTCGGTGCTAGGAGAGCCTGCTCAGTCTAGTCCAGCCCTTCCGTCTATGGTGGAGGGACTCGGGGCCTCCAGTTGCTAGTACTGGAAACAGACAGGAGTGCAAGTTTGTGAGCTAACTTTTTGTTCCCAAATGTTTATTTTTAGGTCAATCAGGCATTTACAAGAAGCATCAGCAACAGATGGAAAAGGCAAGTTCCCTTGTGCTCTTGTGCTGCTCACCTTCCCTGAAGCCACAGGCCTGGGCGCTGCAGAGGGGCGGAGGACGGGCCCGGGAGGCAGCGCGAGCCCTGGGCCCGCTCTGTGAGGCAGCTTGGCGTTGCTGGGTGGAGAGGCAGGTGGCACCCATTGCGGAGACCAGCTGTGTGAGGAGGCCTGGGGTGGCTGCTGCTCTTTGGGATGATTCATTTCACTGCCACTCGTGAGCGTGATTTCACTTTCTCAAAACTGAGTCGGGAAGAGAGAATCTTGTTTTGGGGGGACCGGCTAGCACTTCACTGTGAGAACAGGAGGTTCAGGATTGAGGCTGGCTATGTGTAAAGCGTCCCTTCCTGCTGATTTCACACGCTTCCAAAATAGAGGTGTCGGTATTAATTTACAACGAGACTGATGCCACAGAGAACCTTTGACACGCTCTGATTTATAAGTGCTTGTGCCATTATAACTTTTTGCATTCACCTGATTTTCCAACCGTGCCTGCTAAATCAGAAAAGATACCACAAAGAAAACGTTTTGTGTGTTTCTGGGCTTATTTGAAAAATGTCCACAACTACAGGCTGCTGTGTCACAAATGGGCATTGCCGACCACAAGGGGTCAAGGAGCAGTGCTGTCAAAGGCCAGAGCTGCCTCTGGAGCCGGGACATCATACACCCAGTGCTGATAGTAATCATGTTCTTTAAGGCAGATTGTCCAGTTCTTGTTGTAAATAAAGTTTTGTTGCTGACCTATTTTCTGATTATAAAAGTAAAGGGGATTCATTTCAGGAAAGTCAGAAAACATGTCCAGTCATGCATTGCATAATGATGTTTCGGTCAAGGACGGACCATATGTGTGACAGTCGCCCCGTAAGATGAGTACCATGTAGCCCAGCTGTGTAGTAAGCTGTACATGTAGGTTTGTGTAAGTAATTATAATGTGCACACAACGATGAAGCAGCCTAACGGCACATTTCTCGGGATGTATCCGATCATCATGCAACACAGGACTGTAGTAGGTACATATTTTAGTTCACACTTGCTGTACAATTAATATCACAGTACTTTCTTAAAATTGAATTAGACCTGCCTTCAAGGCTTCACTCCAGTGTCAGGGGACATCCAGCGTTCTTATTTAGAGCACGGTGTTCAGCGGTGCCCCTGGTTTCGGCCCACAGTGGTTCCTATTGAGAGTCCTGCTGTCTGGCTTGGGTACCACTCTTGCGTCTGGGCAGCCTGTGAGGGTCTTGCCTCGGCTGGGAGCTCTGGCCAGTGCTCTGAGTCCAGCCTCCCAAGGCCCACTTGGCTTCTTGAGTGGCCACAGACCCCACTCACAGAATGTGCCAGCTCTTGTTTTCTTTCCAGTCCCCGGAAATAGCTCTTTGTTTTCTCCTCTTTTCCGTCAGAGGCACTGGGTTCCCTTCTCCCTCTGGGATACCCTCTGGGATAAGTTCTTTTCAGTGAGTTTAAGCTGGAACTTTGCAGAAATCTTGTGCTAAAAAAGCCTGGCTACATTGCCTTCCTCTGAGCCACAGAACTCTGAGAGCCCTCCTGACTTCTTGGAATAGGGTAAATGGGAATCATAAAAAATAAATCAGAATTTTAAGAAAGCACCCTACCACAAACAGAAGAGTCCAAAGGAGAAAATAAAACCCCATTTTCTGGGAATAATTGTCGTTTGGGTATATTCTTGTCTTTTTTTTTCTCTTCTATACACATTATATTAAAAAGGGGTTTTATTATTTCTGTGACTTAGTGAATATGTCTTTCTCTTATTTTAATATATTGAGATGAGACATTTTAATTTTTTCATCTTTATACACTTCACTATTTCTAGATTCATTTTTCTGACTTTGGCTGAAGGTGTGTAAAAATCCCACGGGCAGGGTTTCCCCGTTGACGGGTTTCATCTGTGCTTTTCTTCTTGGCCTCATCCTTCCCTGTTTGCGACTTGCTCCGGTCCTCCCTCACCAGTCCCGCCCCCCACCCCGCCATCACTCTAGCCCTCTGACTGCCTCCGCCTTCTGCCCTGTGCTTTGGAGGGCTCGGGCTGACTGTGTAGGTGACTGTCTCTGGGACCTCTTACTCCGTGAGAGCGTGATCATCAGCTGAGGATCTTAGTGCAGTATCCTGCCTGGGTAGAGAGCACCGCAGGGGAAGCCCAAGATGGACTCATCATTGTCCCCTAGCATCATGGGGAAGGGAAACTTTATGGAACAGGAGTGCTTTTGTCATCGCCTGGGGCACACAGGCAGTTTCTCGTCTTTTCCACCAGGTGACAGCATGAGACCTCTTCAGCAGAGAGCAAACGCGGACACAGGGAGTCGTGCAAGCCCCCCCCCCACCCCCCCCCCCCCCCCCCCCGGCTCTCCTTCAGCACTCTCAGGATGACATACTGTTAAGGAAGCACCCGTTTCTCATCAGCGGGTATCACAAACCCTTTGAAAGGGGGACAGAGTAGATTAGCCTAGAATGGGGGTGTCTTCTTGATTCGTGTTCTTTCACCGAATTGATTTAGGCTGAGGGATGCTCTTAAGCTGATCTGCAAATGCTTATTTCACTCCGTCCTTTGAGAAGTGGTCATGCTTGGGACACTTCCCAAGTCAGGGCAGCCGTGTTCCCACAGCTGAAGTCTCCCCGGCAGGGAACCCTCAGGAGCAGCGCCCTGTGCTGTCAGGCCAGCCTCGGGTGTGACTGCAGAGTGGCTGTGCCCTGTCCACTCCAGGATGGCACCACGGCAGCACCGGGAAGCTGGAGTGAACACACAGCTGACCGCCTGCTGGTGCTGGTCCCAGGATGTCTTGGTTGACCTTCTGTGTTCCTCAGTCCCATCCTGTCCCCTCACCCCCTGAGATCTAGCCCATCCTAGAGGCATCTACGCAAAGTAAAGGCCAAGGGCAGGAATGTCTCCTACTGGATTTGGAAGCATTTTGCTGGATGGTGCCTGACACTCTGGTTCCTGTTCTTAGGCCCATTATTCCACTGACTCATTGCACGACCTTAACAGCGACTTGGGCTTAAGTGTCTCAGTTTTAAGTGCAGTCCAGGCTGACTAACTGCAGGTGGGGGAAATGCTCTTTGTCCTTGTCCCTCTGCATTCGGGATTGCATCTGGCTTTCAGGGAGGGTTCTTTTGGATTTCGTGCGCTTCTTTGTCTCTGGGTTCCTTCCGACTGAACCTGAGGGAAGTATAAAGGAAAAAGTTACAGATGAAGCTGGCTGCTGTCCTTAAGCTGTGTCTTTGTCTCTGCTGTCGCACACTCTGCTGTCGTTTAGAGTTGCTGCCGCGCCCGTCCTCTGAGAGGAGGCTTAATTGAGTGTTGCACAGGCGCGCCGCGCTCTGTCCCCTGGGTCTCGCCTGCCAACATTCACTGGCTGTTCCTGCCCTTGAGCCTGCGCCCGTTTCCTTCTCGTTCATTCTCCAGCGTCATCACCTTAGAGGGCTGGCTGGGGGATACACGCCATACGTTTAATTAACAGGCTCTGCTTCTGATCTTCTGGGGTTTTTTCCTTGTGTTTCTGAGGAAAATTGGTGGAAGTATTCTGAGGAATCTTAGCTTTTAGGTGAGCTTCACAAGCCTTTAAACAAATGTTGATTGGCGAGCCGGAGGCTTTGTGGAGGCATGGCTTCACTTGGAGCTGCGGCCGTGTCGAGGTCCTGTGCCCCTGAGAAGTGTTGGTCAGGGCAGAGTTCTCAAGAGGCTCCTCGGAGTCAGAGCCATTTCCATAATAAGACATTATCCACCTTTTTCGCTGTTGGCATTTGCAGAGGGTGCACAAGCCGAGGCGGGGAGAACAGCTGGCGCCTCAGCGAGCGTCGGGGCATGGCACCACCCTGTGTCGGTGGCCCTGGCATTCTTCACTGCCACCTACTTGCAGGGGGGAAAAGGGCTCATTTCACTCAAGAGTGGCATTGGTGAAATAGTAAAAGCTATTAATGTTATTAAATCTCTACCCTTGCATATGGTCTTTAACCTTCTGGGGGACGAAATGGGAAGTAGGCCTAAAGCACGTCTGCCGCGTACCGAGGTGCGACGGTCGTCTAGAGGGAGAGCACATGTAGTTGCTTGAGTTGCAAGCTGAACTAGCCACTTGTCTCTTGGGGCACCGTTTGTATTTGAAAGATGGTTACAGTCAAACTATGGGTACTGAAGCTTGGAGTTTTGGCAGACATTTTCTTGAAAATGAACCAAATAAACATCTCACTTCAGGGAAACAACTACAAGTATTTGTTGCCAGTGATCTAATTTTCACTTGAAAGCACAAATTTCAATTTCGGAAGACTTAGATCCACCGCTGCAAGCTCGACAGCTTCCCGGTTCTTAAAAGAGCTCTAATGTGAGCAGGGGGACTTTTAAGAAATATTTTGTGATAAGAATTTGCAGTGTTTTGGAGGTGTGCATAACTCAGTGAAACAGTATTTTCCACCTGATCAGTGCATGTTACACAGTCATGCATGGATAGAAGATCCAGTCAAAGTGCAAGATGGACCAGTGGATTTTAATTGACAGAGTGTGAAAAGTCAGTGATACAGTTTCAGATTTCCCACCTCGCTGATCTTCGAGAAGCTACCGCTTGTCAAGTTTTAATATAGAATCAGAGAAGACTATTCAGTTATCTAAAAAGGCCTACGTCTGTTTAAGGCCATATTTTCTTCATATACTTGAACCAGAACCCTTCTTCACAACAGATTGAATGCAGAAGCAAATATGAAAATCCTGCTGTGTTCTATTAAGCCAGACATTAAAGAGATTTAGAAAAATGGAAAACAGTTCTGCTCTTCTCATGAAATTTTTTGTTATTTTTATAAGAAAAATAATATTAACATGTAATGAATTTATTTTTGTCACTTTTTTTTTTTTGAGGAAGATTAGCCCTGAGCTAACATCTGCTGCCAGTCCTCCTCTTTTTTCTGAGGAAGACTGGTGCTGAGCTAACATTTGTGCCCATCTTCCTCTACTTTATACGTGGGACGCCTACCACAGCATAGCTTGCTA